TTGTAAAGAACATCAAGAAGGCCCAGTGGATGAACCTTGCTGTAGACCTAGGGAGTGACCACTGCATTCTTGCCACTACCTTCTCCGTGGAGCGTAAAAAGCAGAGAGAATTTCACTTCACAGACTGGGATAAGTTCAGGAAGATAAGGATGGAAAGGGAACAAGATGGCCACAGACAAGGCTTGGAGCAGTGGGTCAAACAGATTAAAGATGACATCAAATCCGTCTCCTCCACCATTACCACAGATTTGCCGGTTGAAAGAATGGATAGCCGGCTCGCTCATCTTCTTGAGGCAAAGCAAGCACTACTGAACCGTTGGAAGGGTCAGCGCCTGAACCGAAGACTGAGGAAGAAGATAGCTGAGGTAAACAGACCAGTCGAGGAACATTGTCGCGCACTATCGAGGCAGCAATGGGACGAAATCTGCAACTCCGTCGATGGTCAGATGAGCAATGGCAAGACATGGAATATGTTAAAGCATCTCCTCAACGAAAACACTACCAAAACAAATCAAAAGCATGTTATCGCTCGAATTTTGCATAAAGAGATAGGGCGCACTACAGAACAGCAAGTTGTCCAGCAGCTCGTGCATAAGTACCTCCCAATCAAAAGAGGATTGGCACCGCCAAGTACACAGTACCAGGGCACGCCAAATCCAGGTCTTGAGGGCGACTTTAACATCGAGGAGATCAGAAGAGCCTTGCATGATCTCAACGGCAGGTCGGCCCCTGGCCCGGACGGTATATCAAACAAGGCCCTGCGTAACCTTGATGACGATTCAATTGAAACCCTGAGGGATATGATCAATTCAGCATGGAAAGAAGGCAGGGTGCCAGAGCAGTGGAAGCTGGCCAGCACGATCCTTATTCCTAAGCCAGGAAAGCCCCCTAACTTGGACAACATGAGGCCAATATCCTTGACATCATGTATCGGCAAGGTCGCAGAACATGCCATACTGCACAGGATAAACAAGTACTTGGAAGATAACAACATATATACACACAATATGGTTGGATTCAGGGCAGGGCTATCCACACAAGATGCATTGAAGCTTATCAAACACCATGTCATTGACAATGAAACCAGAGACGTGAGAGCCATTCTGTGCCTAGATCTAGAAAAAGCGTTTGACAACATCCACCACTCATTCATACTCGAAGCGATTTCCAAGCTTGGTCTAGGGAAAGCCTTCTATGACTACGTATGGTCCTTTCTTACAGATCGGAAAGCCGTGATGAAGATTGCAGATATCGAGACCGCAGCAATCGAACTAGAAGCAAGGGGCACGCCACAAGGGGCAGTGATTTCACCAATGCTGTTCAACATTGCCATGATTGGACTGTCAAAAAAATTATCCAGCATTGAAGGATTGAAGCACAGCATCTACGCAGATGACATTACCATCTGGTGCACAGGTGGAAGCGAGGGGCGAATTGAGAGCGCTCTGCAAGAGGCGATTGACACCGTAGAAGACTACCTTCGCCCTTCCGGGCTCAAGTGCTCCTCGAGTAAGTCAGAACTTTTGCTTTATCGGACTGCACGCCGGGGACCGAATCCCAGGGGATGGAAGCCGTCAAACCAGATAGACATCCATCTCCGTACAAATCAAGGGGATGCCATCCAAAGGGTCGACTCCATCAAAGTCCTGGGAATGCTGATAGAGTCTACCGGCGCCAACAGCAAATCTACAGCCAAGTTAACTCGGAAAACAGACAGTGCGGTGCACCTCATACGCAGAGTGGCCAACAAAAGAAATGGGATCAAGGAAGACAACCTCATCAGGTTGATGCATGCGTTTGTTCTAAGTCACTTCACATGCGAGGCAGCAATGCACAACTGGTCAAGAGCAGAGTCCGAGACACTGAATGTGCTCCTCAGGAAAGTTATCAAGAAGGTCCTGGGCCTACCCATACATACCAGCACCGAGCGTCTGCTTGAGCTTGGCATACACAACACGCTCGAAGAAATAGCAGAAGCCCAAGAGAGAGCACAGTTTGCAAGGTTATCTACTACAAGGTCGGGGAGAATGATCCTGCAGGAGCTGGGCCAACACCCAATAGCAATCAGACGCAATTACAATGATATCCCTGACAACATCAGGGAGACTATCACGGTATCTCCTATACCGAGAAACATGCATCCAGAACACAACGTCGGAAGAAGAGTAGCGAGGGCCGGGACTATACTTCGTCAAGTCTCAAACGAGGAACGAGGGGTCGTATTTGTTGACGCGGCTTCCTACGCCAATGGGAAAGCGTTTGTGGCAGTGGTAGTCGACGGGGCTGGCCATGTCGTCAACTCAGCGACGGTCAGGACGAAAGACCCAATCATTGCGGAACAAGTGGCCATCGCCTTAGCACTCAAGATGGATAACATTGAAGTCGTCTACAGTGATTCCATGGCAGCACTACGGGCGTTCGCCAAGGGGACGGTCTGTGAACAAACGCTGAAAATACTGCAAGGCAAGAACATAACACATCATCTTCTGAGTTGGTTCCCAGCTCACCTTGGACAAATCAACGATTCCCCTCCCAATCTCAACGAAGCAGCACACGAGGCGGCGTGAGAACTCTCCAACCGTGCCTCCCCGGGGATGCGTTCTACCGGTGAAGGGGATAACCGGGAAATTCTTACAACATATAACGAGCTCACTAAACATTTCTACCTGTCTAGAAGGATTTTCCCTCCACCTCACAAAAATCTAACCCGACCCCAAGCACTTACATTAAGGCTTTTGCAAACGCGGATGTACCCTACTTTGAAAATGTTACACATCATGTACCCTGACCTATATCCAAGTAATCTTTGTCCACATTGTGGGGAAATAGCTTCATTAGAACACATGCTCTGGCAGTGCACCAAATTCGCTCATTTATCGCACATCACCTCTGCCAGATGGGAGGCGGCAATCCGCAGCTCGTCCTTGGCAGATCAGCTCTGGGCTGTCCACCAAGCCCGCGAGGCGGCTGAGGAGCTTGGCATCTCAGTCCCCACGTGGGAGCTGCCCGCAACACAGTGATCTGTGTTTTGGAGGACCAAATAAAAGTTTATCCAATCCAATCCAATCGCTGCGCCGTTTTTGCTCTAGATGTACAATGCACATTGTTCCTGCAAAAACAAAGTTGTGGTTGTCTGTTTCACTATGGCCGCGCTAGATGGCGCCACCTATTGAGCTGGTCGGGGGGCTGGCATATTTTTAGTTTCTATGTTCCAGGCCATTCTAGCTTTGAAAATCTGGCTGAAACCGTGTAATCGCTATAAGTGCTCGCACTTTAGCTTACTTTAACTCGACGGCTAGAGTATCCACAGTGTGGATACCATAAGTTCTTGCGAAGGTGGACCTTACAAGGTGGCCGATCCATGCTGTCCGAGATTTCGCGCCTTTGTGCTATGCTATTTGTATAGGGGCTAGCCACTATAATATTTGCGCCTAAAACTCAAAGTGGTGGCTCTAGCCAGCCTCAGCTTTGCTCGCCGTGAAGGTAACATGATGCGCCAGCATGTGCGACGGAGCAGCTTATCTCCGCTAGGAGGCCAGTGGTGGCAGCGTTGTTTATGGCCGCGCGGACGCATGGCCCCATCGCCCCAGCGATCTTGCGACGCATCTGTTTGGGGTTTCGCGCATGCGCAATACCACCGCCCCAACGTCCTGGGTACACAAGCCGCTTGGGTACCCAGCACTAAAACTCCCTAATGCCTACTCCAGTAAAGGCCACACCGAGTTTCGCTTCAAAGCGTTCTTCCAGCACCCGTGTCTTCGCCCGTTTCAGCCGTGTCAACGGTGTGCGCACTGCTGCTTCGCATCCCATCCTGGTTCTCTTCCGGGAGATGACCCATAATTTTTTCGGCAAACCTTTTGTGTTCATAGTTCTTTATGACCACAACTGTGAATGAAGTTGAAATTTTTGTTCAGCTGTATAGATGCTGATACAACGCTAAGTTTTGCGAATAACCCCTGAAATTAGTCGTACCTCACTTCCAAAGCGGCTAGGGCACTCGTTAACTCGACGCTCGTGTTTTAAGGCAAGATATTTAAACACCACCTATAGCCCGATAAGTTACACTACTAACCCAGTCCATGAGCCTGACTACCATTGCCTGTTGATATATAGATCTAAGCAACGTCTAGAAGATACAATAGATGAAAACGTTTCTTAACAACGTGTATTGCTGGCAGTCATACATAGAACAAAGCCTAGCAGAAAATACAGCTTTATTATATTAGAGAAATGCCGGGATAGGTGAGCAAACGTTTATGAAAATGCAGCTGCCCTGTTCAGGAGCTCTAACAAACGTCAAAAGCCGAATCCCTCGCTTGCGTCTCCGTTCGCAGCTCCACCATCGGTGGCGCGCAAGGCGAATAGTGGGTATGAGCCATGCTATGAGGCGACAAGAAAAGCGACAACGACCGTGAGCTGGGGCTGGGGGGCTGTTCAGGGCACTGACGACGGCGGCCAAATTAAAGGTTAGTTGTTTAATACTGTCGCGTAAACTTCTTTGTCAATCAATAGTAGGGTACTTTTAAGAGCAACACGGTTCGCGATAGGAATATGTAACGGCTGTTTCTGTTCTTTGCTCAAGCCTCTTAAGAGCTGTGTCCCAAACCCGATGTCAATTAATCTGTTACACAGTCGACATCATTTGAACATGAAGGGCACTTTTGTAGCTGAAAAAAAGACAGTATTTCGGGTTGCTTTCCATTGCTCATCGGGAGCAGCTTTGCATATTGTTCTTTGACGTAGTGTCATCATTGGTGTACTTGTGTAAATATATTATGGGAGTTCTTCAAGAAAGAAGTTGCCCGAAAAGGTTCTAGGATACACTAGGGAAGTGCAAAAACGGGAGTTGGGGGCACGCCAGCCTTCCTTTCTCTGTGACCATTATTCCCGCACTTATCCTCCACGCCCCCCCCCCCCTTTCGGCCTGCACTTTTCAAGTTCATCAGAAGTTCTGTGACTAATTCGCCGCTACATTCATTCTCCTCTTCAGCCGTGGCAGAATGGCGACACAGGGCGTGTACGAGGGTTTGCTGAAGTTCTCCTTGCGTCTGTACAAGCAGACCGCTTGTAAAGACGCCCAGGTCGATAACATCGTATGCTCACCGCTAGTGATCGCAGCCGGTATCTGCACGCTGCTCGTCGGTGCCCAAAACACCACTGCCAAGGAACTGCACAGCGTACTTCAAGTCAAGGCAAGTATCGACAGATTGCGTGATTATTTTACCGAACACATCACCGACCTGACCACGTACGCTCCCTACGCCTCCATGCGCGTGACAAGCCGCACGTACAGTGAGCAGGAGCTTCCGCTGAACGCCAACTACGCCCCACGCGTTAAAAGTTTTTTCGAGACGACCGTCAAATCCGTCGACTTCAGGCACAGCCACGAGGCGGCACGGCAAGAAGTGAACGCTTGGGTTTCGCAGCAAACGGCCTCCAAGATTCGCGACCTAATACCTCCGGGAATTGTCAATGCCGGCACTTCGTCGATACTGCTCAGTGCCGTCTGTGTGCAGGGTTTCTGGCGGTCTCCCTTCCAGTGGAGAAATACCAGACCTCAAGAGTTTCACGTTGACTCCAAGAACAGCGTCATGGTAAACATGCTCTACCAGGACGGGAGCTACAAGATGGCTCATTCGGAAGTTCTGAGGGTGAGGGCTCTGGAGATACCGTGCAAAGGTGATAAAGTGTCCATGGTCATTGTACTCCCAGACGCCCAGGATGGCCTCGCTCTTCTGCAGGAGAGACTAACTCCGACCAGGCTCTGCCGTCTTCTCTCAAACCTCCGCCTGGTTATGAACGTGGAGCTGAGCCTTCCTAAGTTTACAATAAACAGTAGCATTGCGCTGAAGGATATGCTCTGTGCGTTAGGTGCAAAGGAGTTGTTCAGTCCTTTCTGCGCTGACCTGTCCGGTATGTTCGAGTCTGACCGCCCGCCGCTCGCCGATGTGATACACCGAACTTTCTTGCAGGTCGACGAGGGAGGCATGGACGCGGCGCTCTGGTGCGCCATGACGACTTCGGCGGGTTGCGCGTCGTTGCCTTTTTACACCAAACGCTTCATTGTCGACCATCCGTTCATGTTCCTTATCAAGGCCAATGAACCGGACGTGGTACTTTGCTTAGGTTCTGTGCGGAAACCGCGAACATAAGCGACCGTGTGGTCCGTAGGTGCCGAATTCTTTTACAAAAATCAATCAACGCAATATGTGCCGTGTTATTTTCAACCGCGAATACAAATACTATCATGTTACGCGAAAATTAGAGAAACGAGCTCTTATAATTGCACAATCGCAATAATTGTGAAAAAGGACGAGAAATGTAAAAAAATGATAAAAATTTCGTAAGATTTTTAGCGATGTGACGTGAATACATGAGTAATTGCGCAGTCGCAGTGTCATTCAGAATGCTTCGATGTCTCCTTTTATTTCGTGAGCACAGTACATAGCAGAAAAAAAATCATTTCTTCGAAGATGGTGCAGTGCAGCGTGTCCGTCATATGCTAGTCGATTTCGGAGGTTATATACCACAACCCTGAAAGGAAGCATGGCAAGCTCTCTGCAGCTCGACGCAATGCTTTACGTCATTGTCAAGTACCGTTCGAAAAATGTCAAAAAACCATTGGGTGGTTGCCTTGTAATAACCAGTGGTATAATAATGACCACACTACGATACTGTAAGAACAATATTGTGATACATGAGAGCGTTCGTATGGAGTGCATTTAATTCAGTATACATTCAACATATTTCAGCTTGCATTTCTTGAAGTTGTGAGTGTTCGTTAAAGGTATGATTGCAGGTATAAGCCTACTTATTCCTAAGAAAGTGGAGGTGCAGCGAAGAAACAATGTAGGCCAATACGAATGTGCGGTACAGCTACAGTGTTCATCAGCCCAGATTTATAGTACACGTTACACGATAGACAGGAGCTTCTGCAGCCGCACGGCGTGGTCCCCTATGCACCCTATGCGACACTTCACGAACCTGCAAAAAAGAGCATATTAAAAAAAAGCTTTTTAGAGCACTGAGCGTATAAGTTCTTTTCGTCGTTGCTGTGCCGAGACGAGACCGAAAGCAGCTGACTATGCAAAGGAATCGCGATGCTGGAGAAGCTTCTAGTTTTGCAGCGCGGGCCTAAGCTAGAACAATAGCACATAAGAAAGGGGAAAATAATAGCACTTGCACATTAAGGAGAAAAAATGATTGTTATGGCGACGCAGAAGCCCTAATTTGTGTGGCCTATCCTGTATACCTATCAGGTACGTGCTACAGAAATTGGGCAAATCACTCTCTAACCACTACAGCCCACTAAAGCTAAACAGTGCGCCCAACAAACCCACAACTGACCGCTCGTCCTTTAGAAAGGAAGAGCTAGCCCAAAGGGCGCGAAAATCTTAGCCCATCCTTCACAGTGGGTATGCACCACAGTTATAGACCAACAAGTACTAGAAATTTGGCACATCTCACGTACCATGAGAATCGATAGTATGCGAAGCATGCACAAGAAATGTGACTGTGGTGCAATTTTTTTATCTACGAGTTATGAAATCGCGCTAAAGATGTGTATTAATGTTGTACGCACAGGCGTACATGCGTTCAACAGTCGCGTATGTCTTATACAATCAGCCGTTCACAGTGGCGTAATGATCCTAACGAGTAGCGTAGCTGATCGGATAACTGTTTTTTTCCCTTAAGTCAGAGTGGCACTGCTGGAAATTTTAGTTATTTCCCAAAATCTTGATGAAAATAACGTGGTGGGATAATCACAAGATGAACAAGTGAAGTGCCTCAGACTGGCTTGCCGACGTTTCGATAAGAGGACCTATCTTTTACCTTTGGAAAAGATAGGTCCTCCTATCGAACCGTAGGCCAGCCAGTCTGTGGCACTACTTCACCTGTTCATCTTATGAGTATCCCACTAGTTTTTCCCCACGTAATACCAAAAACCAAGTGTGCATGCAGCGCCTTAAAAAAGGCATCATCGTTTCCTACATGCAGCTTGTCAACTATAAGCATGCAAGAACTATATATGAAATTGGTGTAAAGCTGGGAACGCTGTTCGATGTGGTTGTTGGCGAGCTTTTGCCAGCCCTGACGTTTCCCGATCATGCGCGTTGCGACATAAAAGTACCCGTTGGTCAAACATGTCGTTATTCGTTTGGGACATTTATGTATAGCTGTAACTCCAAGGGTGTGTCAAATAAGTTGCCACTCAGCCTTAGCAGCAAGACATTCATATAACGCATGCTTAGTGGACTCTGACAGTCCACAATTCGCGCACTTATCGCTTGGCGTCACGTACCACCTTTTTAGCCGCTATAGCGCGTAGGCACCACGCTTCATGTTCTCGGCCAGTGAAATTCATGAACCTCTTTGGCAACTTTGCCATTCTTTAATGTCTTCCATCGGCTTTGTTTCGTTTTTTATGTTTGTCTTATATATATATATATATATATTATATATATATATAATGATATTAAATAGTGGGGCTCAGGCAAGGGCGCAGGCAGGGTTACGGAAGCGGAGGAAGAGGAAGCAGAATAAGAACAGCCGGCCTGCAGCAAAGGCGTTGTCTCTTATTTCTCGTCGTTACAATATATATATATATATATATTTATATATATATATATATATATATATATATATATATATATATATATATATATATATATATATATATATATATATATATATATATATATATATATATATATATATATATATATATACATATAAAGCATACACGCGCGTCTACGTCTTTTCCACAGCTTCCTTCGCAGCGAACAACACCTTTTATGAGCCAATAGCGCTTGGTTATTTTTGTGTTTAGAACAAATCTTAGACGATTTAGAATATGATGCACTCTACCATGGGAGAGCTTTGAGCGTCGTATACACTTAACGTTTATTATGTTACTCTATGGTATAAACTTGGCATGACAAAAACGCTACAATATAATGAAGAAGCCACTTTTTTTAAATGCGAAGCATTTCTTAGCGAACTTCGGTAACTTAGAGGGTATCTATCTATCTATCTAGCCACCTACGACTATTAGCTCTTTTGGTCGTTTCAATAATAGTATCGATACCACACTTGGTATGGCATAACATTACTGTATGAAAAACATATTTGAGTAGTCATCATATGGAAGTCATGACATGTGTGTCATGAATGACATAATTTACATTTCATGGTCCTGCAGCTCTTGTGGTGGTTGCGTTCACATTACATGTTTCAAAACTGGTATGGTAGGACGCGATTGCATGGCGAACACAAGCCACAGACACTAACATGAAAATCATGACATGCGTGTCATGTAACAACATGACTACAATCCTACGCTCATGATGCGCTCGCGGCCGTTTTGCTAGCGTCACATATACCAAATTTGGTACTACGGTACGTGAATGGATGACGAAGGTATGTGACTGGCGCAAACATGACAATCATCAGGTGCGTGTCATGTAACAATTTGACTACATGCCGCTAATAATGCGCTGGCGGCCGTTTCGCTAGCTTCACTTATACCAAGTTTGGTGTTACGGAACGTGAATGGATGACGAAGGTATGATACTGGTGCAAACATGATAAACATGAGGTGTGTGTCATGTAACAACATGACTACATGCTACGCTCATGACGTGCTCGAGGCCGTTTCACTAGCTTCACATGTACCAAACTCTGTATTACATGACGCGAACAGACGACATAGATGCTTGACATATACAAACATGATAATCATGACAAGCGTGTCTTGCAACAACATGACTGCATGCCACACTCATGATACGCTCGCGGCCGTTTCGCCAGCTTCACACATGCTAAATCTGGTGTTACGGTACGTGAATGGAGGACGACGGTATGCGACTGGTGCATACATGATAATCATGAGATGCGTGTCATGTGAGAACATGACTACATGCCACAGTCAAGGCGCCAATACTTTTCGACGCCGGCGTTGCCACGCCAGGCGACGGTCCTGCCATATACTAGCATGCGCGCGTCGTGCTTCGTTGCTTTGACGCATGCGCGTTTCAGGGCATCCGGCGTCCTTCCGTCACGGAAAGAGGACTATGCAGTGTTTTCTAGGGAACGCATCGGCGCGAAAGGCAGCATGTCGCATTTCGCGCTAGTTGCCATCGGGCCATGCCGACGAACGCTGGTCGCGCCAGCGTTCGTCGGTGCGACCAGTGTAGCGTTGCTGTGCCCAGCGTGTGCGCGCGTCAACGCTACAAGGGAGTATATTGGGCCCTTCATGATGAGCTCACGGCCGTTTTGCTAGCACCGCATATACAAAATTTGGGGTTAATGACATCAATAAATTGCGAAAGTACATGACTTGTGCAAACATGATAACCCTGACAAGCGTGTCATTCGAGAACATGACAACGTACCACGCTCATAGCGTGCTCGCGGCCGTTTCGCTAGCTCCAGATATACTAAATTGGTTATCACGTGACGCGAATAGATGACGAATGCAAACGACACATCCGAACATGCATGATAATCGTGACACGTAAGTCATGTACAGCATCTTTTACTTCAACCTCGTAACATTGTGCTGATTATAAAGTGACATATCGACCTTACTCATTCGCGCTTCGCATATTATCGATTCTCACTGTATACGTGGGATCTGGCAATTTGTAGAGTTGGGTTTAGAAAAAAATGCGACGATTTAGAGTGCGCTGTACAATACTATGGGAGAGCAATTACCTGTCCCGGTAAAGAAGTAAGAAATATCGTCGAGCTGTCCGAGGTCAACAATGCATATTTTATGTCGGCAAGACCTGGCCGAATAATTCAGTGTGCAGACACACGTTTGTTCCACTGGTTGTTCGTCAGAATCTTGAACGTCCTGGTGAATTTCATCAGAAAATCTGGCGTCGCTCCTCAGCCAAATCAATGCTTTCGGCTGTAACGTCAAAGCTTTAACCCTCAATGTGCCTATAGTACTTACATGAGATGAGAAAAAAAAGTACTTCAGACTTGATCGTAGACCGACTAGCACAACTCTCACAGGTGGAGGGCAGGCATGTCACGATTACAATGTGCTATAATAGAAGAATTCTACTGCACTGTACCACAATTCTGTGAGCGGGCAGCTGCCATTTCGTCGCGTTAGCTACACTGGCAGAGGCAAAACGGTCTC